TAAAAACTAAAATAAAAAAGATCGATTCGCGTCTTTTGAGAATCGATATCGAATCGATGTCATTTAAAAAAACAATTCATCGAAAAATCAATTTTTTTTTTGCCCAGCCCTATTGTTTACAGTGGAAAAAGGTTCTTTAGATTATTGAATTGCTCTTCATACTAAAAAAATTATTCTATTTGCAACTGTTCCCTGAAAGATTTCCAAAACGTGGAATAACTGAAAAAAACAACAACTTTATTTCAAGATTGTAACATATTGTCATTAATATGGACTGTCTGTGTGTGTTTTCCCTCATGTGTGACATGTCCATATTTGTTTTTTCCGGTTCCTGTACCCATTGTGTGTTCATTGTTTCCAGGTGTGTAGCCTGTTCCATTCTCCCTTGTCCGGTATTAAACATCAACTCCGTGCTATGTGTGTGTCTCCTGGCTACCCTGTGTGTTCCCCGTGTTGGAATATTAAAGACTGTTTTTGGTGTTAACTCCTCATCTCCTCGTCTCCTCGTTCCTCGCTCCAACACAGTAGGCGATTGTGACAGAATACTGGACCTTTAAAATAGTTTATTTGCGTCTTCCCCTTCGTTTGTTTCCCGTGTTTTTTACAGTGTTTGTTTTCTGTTTTTCCCCGTGTTGCCCATGGATCCCCTCGCTGCCAAGTTCACCGCCCTAGCCTGTAAGGACCTTTCCCTGTTGGAGTATGCTGTGGAGTTCAGCCAGCTCGCCGTCTGAATGTCTCTCCGTGAGGTACTATGTGTGTCTCCTGCCTTCCTGTGTTAACCACTATCTGGAATATTAAAGTGTGTTCACCGAAAACTCCTTCGTCTTCGTTTTCCTTGCTCTGATACAGTAGTATCGTGACAGAATACCGGACCGACAAAAAGTTTAATTGCGTGTTCCCCTCTGTTTGTATTCCGTGTTTTGTACAGTGTTTTTGTTTTTCCCCTATGGATTCCCTCGAAGCCAAATTCACCGCCCTAGCCCGTAAAGACCTTCCCATCTTGGAGTATGCGGTTGAGTTCAGCCAGCTCGCCGTTTTAACGGCGTTCGATGACGCTGCGCTGAACTCCCTGTTCTGGATCGGGGCCAACTACTACCACCCCGTCGACCTCCCAGACACCACCGGACTGTGCTGGAGGGAGGCAATCATCCGGTGTCTGGAAAGTGTCTACCCCCGATCCAGAACACCATCACCCCGCTGCACCCCGCTGCGCAGGCAAGAGCCTGAGCCCACCACTGATGGAGGGCAGAGCACGTCACGACCGACGAGCCATCACCGATGATGGAGAGTCAGAGACAGTGCCGAGGATCGCCCCCGAGCCTGTGACGTCAGACCAGGTGCGAGAGCCGGCTACAGAGCTCGCCACGGGGAAGATCC